TTTTTTTGAAGCCGTGGCCCTTTTCCTTTAGTAGAGCTTCCAGTAATGCTGAATGTGTTTTTTACCCACTAAGCCTTGGTAGTTGTATCTAAAGCCTTGTTATAATTTCGTTTTGATTTTCCTTTTTTTTTCATACAAGAGTACCTTGGAGATGGGGTTGCAAACTTCTCCTGGGAGTCTTGCATTGTCTACTTTAATTTCTTTTTGTGATGTTCAGTGTCTTTAACGTAGTAGTATTTTTAATTATCATAAAAACCTTCCATTTTCACCTGGTTATAAGTGGTGCTGAGTTTGGCACTGGGTGGAGAAGTCTCAGGCCATTGTTTTTCACTTTTTCTGCTTTTTCTCCATTGTAGTTGTTTTTCCTGTTATCTTTTAATGAGATGGGTAGTGTATTTTCATTGGAGAAAATTGGAAAACAGACATAAATAAGATATGAAATTAAAACTGTGCTAAATTTTATTACTTAGTGATAGCTCCTAAAATTAGAAGTATATTCTTCCAGAGTTTCTTATGTGCAAAAAAATACATGTATTTGTCTGTGGTATCATTAAATAAAAGATTGCACTCCGCGCACAGGTCTGTTTTTACCTCGTGGCGTCTCCATAACCCCCATCCCAGGAGCTGTGGTGAGGGACGTGGTCTTCTTCCCTGTCCCTCCATAGTTCACACCAAGAGGGGTGTGGGGAGGGACCGGCTGCCGCTGGTGTAGCCCAGCTGCCAAGTTTTTCAAAGGAAATAAGGACTTTGGGTTGGCAGGGCAGTTGCTTTCACATCTGTTCTTTTAGGATTCTCTGCTGTTACTCAACACACTGTGACCCGGGCTGCCCCTTTCCTTCTCCTGTTCCTGTCCCTGGCCTGGCAGAGGCTGGGGCCATGGGGGTCAGGGGAGCCAGCCCCCTGCCCTCCGGCAGGCTGTACCTCCAACATGGTGCAGCGTTGTTCATCTCTCCTGACTCTGGCGTTGGAGCTGGGGCAAACAGCAGCTATTTGGATTTCCATGTGGGAGGGGCAGTGGCCGAGGGGAGCTGAGTTTGGTAGCAAAGATGCTGTTTACTTATTAGCACATGTGTTTTTTTGGAGTGGCATTGTGGCTCACCTCAAGTCACCCCTTAGGGCCACCACTGATTAGGGGTGAAGGCCCTTTTCCATCCTATAACTTGTAACTGGTTGCATAACCTCGGTCAGCCCCTTCTCCTTTGGAAACTCAGTTTTCTGTGTGTTCAGTGAAGGAGTGAGCCAGAGCACCCCCATATGTTCCCAGCCTGGGGAAGGAAGGGATCCTAGCACACCCCGAGCCTACAGTCATCCGGGAAGAGATGAAGGCAGAGGGGCCAGAGGTGAGTCGCTGCATTGGAATGCAGCCCCCACCCCGCCCCCGTGTGAAAAATCAGTCTGGGAGGAGAGTGAGTGACAGGATCACAAGGCTGTGGCTGCTCCAGCAAGACTGTCTCCTGGGGGATCTCACTTCAGTCCTCCTGGCCCGGAGCAGAGCGTGGAAGAGCTGGGAGCATGGAGGAGGGCAGCCAGCAGACCTGAAACCAGTACTCAGCCAGCCTGCTGTGTCCTCCCAGGCAGAGTGAGCGCTATTAGCTGTACAGAATAGATTCTGCATTTCTGCTCTGTGTTCTTGTTCGGAGACTCTGGGTGCAGATCAGTATGGCAGAAATGTCATCAAGTCCTCTGGAGTACCAGGTGCTGGGAGGGGTGGGTCTGCTGGAAGAGAAGAGGTGACCCTCCGTCACTCTGGTCGGACAGGGATGCTACAGAGCGAGTGTGTCAGTCCAGTCTTGACTGGGGCTGGAGGGTCTGCTTCTGAGGTGGCTCAGTCACATGGATGGCAGGTTGGTGCTGGCTGTGGGCAGGAAGTCTCAGCTTCTCACCACAGGGCTGCTTGAGTGTCCTCACTACATGTTGGCTGGCGTCCCCCAGGGTGAGTGATCCAAGAGGGAGCAAGGTGGAAACTACATTGTCTTTCATGACTTCAGAAGTCAAACAAGTGATTTCTGCAGTGCTTTGTTGGTCACCCAGGTAATGTGGGAGGGGACCATACAAGGGCATGAACACCTGGAGGTAAGAGTCTTTGGAGGCTGACTACCACCGTGGCAAGGATGGCCCCAGCAGCTTCCAGCTCACATCCTACCAGCCTAGTGAAATGACAGGACCTTTTTTTTTTTCCCACTTAGTTCCAGCAAGTCTCAGAATTGAATCTCATTGGACCACTTTGAGTCACCTGTTCATTCCTCAATGGGCACTGGTCTCGTGAGCCCACCCCTGAAGGGCTGGTTTCCCCATAGGAATAGGGAGCTGTTACTAGAAGTGGAAATGGATGCTGCAGAAGGAAGGGAACAGTGTATATCCTCTCAGGAGAGGCTTGTGGCACTGTGGCCCAGGAGGTGATGACAGGGCATCACTTCCTGAAAGAGGTGGCATTTATACTTGTCTTGGCAGGATGAGTAGCATTTTGACCATTCCTGGTGGCAGAAAGGCCTGAGCCAAGGCATGGCAGGGTGAGGCAGCTGGATTATGGGGTCAAAGGAGATCAGGATGGAAAGATGAATTGGGCCAGGTGTGTGTGTGATGGGGTCAAGAGGAGGAGCCAGGACTGGACTCAGGATTCACCGTGAAACCATGGAAGGTCTTTGACTAGGGCAGGCATGCAGTAGAGCCACGTTCTAGGGTTTGGAACTAAGAGAACACCCTCTATCTGCCCACTCTTGTGTTTGGCTTTAATTGAGCACTTACTGTGTGCTTTATACACATTTTTCACTTGACCCTCATGGCCTCCCAGGGAGTTGGATGATATCGTCTGGATTTTACAGATGGGCTCCCTGAGCTGCCAAGATCATGTAACTTGGCCAAGGTCACTCGATGGGGGTCCTGACTGCAGGTCTTTTGGCCTCTTCACCCCACGTGCATGGGACAAGGGGTGGGGTTGAGGGTGAGTTGCCAGCCTTAGTGCTCAGACCCCCCTCAAGGCTCCTCTGGGGTGTGGTGAGCCCCCTAACTCTAAGGGAAAGAAAAAGATGAGGTGACTGTAGTACAGACGGTTTTCCTGCTCATGCCTTCTCCCAGAAATCTGCCTGCAGTTTGAAATGCACTGGGGTGCTGGGTTTCTTCCCGAGGGGGACGGGCTCCACATCTGGGTTTGTCAAACAGGGCCAAGCTGTTTGCTCAGCGCTCAGCATTATTTGTCTCTTGGCTGACTGCCAAACGTGTGTGTCTTGTTTTTGCTGCAGTGTTATTCCTTCTTGCCCGCTGTTTCACCTCCTTGCCACTCTCTGTAGCCTACTGCCCCCATGCACCAGTCAGGGATCGGCTGGGCCATCTCCTGGGCTGGGGACGCCCTGTCTCGGGAAGCCCCGAACCTACCCTACCTGAGTGAGGTCTCTCTCCCCCAAGCTCCAGACCACCTATCTCGCCTTCATGGATGCTTTTCCCAGATCTTTGTGCCATGCCATTGGTGGGCATGACTCAACATGGAGCTTGCCTGGCAGGGGCTATGTCCAAGTCATACTTGCGCCCCCAGCACTAGTTGGGGGTCCTGTCCACGGGAAAAGGGCAGGTGTTGCTGAGTGGAACAGGAAAGGGTCAGGCTGTGCTTTGTACCTGGCACCTTGAGCGAACAGAAGCCAGTCTTCCCTGTCTGATGCGGAGAAAGCCCACAGCTGCCTTGGGGGAGTTTGTCCAGCAGGTTTGGGAGCACTGAGGCCAGGGCTTGGAGGTCTCAGGCAACCTCTACCAAAGAGGGTGTAGAGGGATGTGGAGCAGGCTGTCTCTAGGGAAGCCCTTCTTTGCTTCTGGGGAGGGTCATGGTGTGAGTGGTTGAGAGCACAGGCTGTAGAGTCAGACAGACCTGAGTTTGAATCCTGATTTTGCCTTTTTATTAAAAAAAATTTTGTTTTTAGCTGTGTGTGCTTGGGCAAGTGAGCAGCCTCTCTGAGCCTCAGTTTTCCTTTCTGTAGAATGGGCATAATGGCAGGCCCTCCTCATGAGGCTGTGCATGGTGCCCAGCACACAGTCAGTGTTTAAATGCTGATCTCAGGGTGCGTTAGCCTGTGTGCATAGGTTCTGCCTGCTGGGACCTTGCACTTGGTATGAGGGATGGGGCGTCCACTGCCAGGTGGCCAGGGCTGGTGGTGCAGTAGGTCAGCAGGGAAGAGTCTGCCTCTTCTGAGGAAGGAGCTGGAAGGGAGGCCTGCAGAGAGCAAGGTGTGTCAGTGGGAAAATTGGGCTCTGTTCCCCAGTTTATTACTAAACAGTAGGGTTTATTGTCAGGAGAAAAGGTAAAAAATAATCCCAGGTCCCCAAGTGACATGCTCAGAAGGCTCCCTGAGGACCAGGCGGTATCCTCCCCGCTCTGTTTTGGGAAGTTTCTGCATGCCACTTCCCAGTCCTTCCTAGTCTGCTGCCTCACCACTGAGCACCCTGTGATCCCAGTAGGGAAACAGGCCTGGCAAAGCAGAAGGGGCTTGATTCCTGGCCTCCTGGGGCCCAGGGCAGCTGGGTTTCTCTGGGGGCTGTTTGGGACAGGAACTCTAAGCATAGGCCTTGGTCTTGCCCTCTGGCCTGGCCCCAGCATGGGGACAGCTGTGAAATGGAGAGGCAGCAGGCCAGACTGGAGCCCTTTGACCTCTCAGAGATGGACGAGGCCCGTCACTGTGTGGGTGGGAAACTGAGGCTCAGGGCCTATGTGAATGCCAGGCTGCTCTCGCTTCTAATTGCTCATTAAGGAGGCATTTACTCCTTGCCTCCAGCCGTCATCACCAGGCTTCTAATGGAGGCTTTTGGCGCTTGTTTTATTTTTACTTTTTGAAAATTGTTCCAGCTTGAAGCCTCCAATTTCCATGAGGTCATTGGAGCCAGCAGCCTGGTCTGACAGCTCCCCTCCACTCCTGTGGAGGGCTCCGCTGGGGCCCCCTGCACACCCCGAGAGGCGCTGAGCTGGGGGTTCAGTGTTAGCCTTTCTGCTGCTCCCGCCGCCAGAGCAGGAAGTGGTGGGTCCCAGAGGTGACTCACTCTCATTAGGTAGCTGGTGGAAGGAGGCTTCACATGTGTGAGCCTGGACGCTGGCCGAGGAGGGGCAGGCAAGGGCCAGGCCACCTCTAAGTCGGCTCTGACCCTGGCCTGGGGCCCTGGAGGAGAGCCAGGTAAAGTGGGGTATGAGTATGGGCGCCATCCGTCCTAGTGGCCTGGGCCTGAGGGGGCTGCTGGGCAGTCCCCCTCCCCACCAGGCGGGCCTGGCCTGGGAGCGGATGGATAGCATGTGGGTTGGAGGTGGGGGAGGCTTCTGGAGCCTGCTGGACCGACAGCCAGATGTCAGGGGGTGGGGGGGTTCTCCAGGACAAAGAGAGACACCTTGTCACTTGCTTTCTCAGCCTGACAAGAAGGTGCCGTTATTAACTGTGATGGCCTTGGTCCACCTGGAGTTCCGCATTTCTTTTCCAGGTTGTAATTTTACACTTTACTTTTCTCAGTGAAAGTAAAAGTTAGCAAGGGAAGGGCAACTGAATTAATTTTGTTAGATCAAAAAGAATAAAAACCAAACTCTGAAAGTGATGTATGCCCAAGAGGCAGAGAACCAAGATGTCTCAGGAAAATGAAAGTCTCTCTTCCCACCCAAGTCTTCCCAGCCCAAGGTCCTGGGGACCACCAGCGTGGACCATGGGGAGTGGGTCCTTCTGGATCTTTCTGCCCCCTCATCTAAACACATGTGCACAGACAGGGTGAAGCAGGCTCCTCTTTTCTGTGTTATCACATGGGGTTCTGGACAGCCGACCCACAGGGCTTCCTCCCTGGCCAGCCCTTGGGGGAGGGGTGAGGTTGGGGAAGGGGAAAGCAGAGGCCTGGGCTGGGAGTCTTGGAGACAGAGTCCCTGGCCCCAGGGCCTGGATGGGTGGCTGGAGTCCAGGCTGGCTCTGGCTGGAATGACTGTGACTGTGGGCTGTCACCGGCTCTCCTGGCCACAGCTGTGCTGGTGGACGTTATGAGGGGTGACTAGACCAGCATTTCTCAGTGTGGGGACCCTGCTCCTCAGATGGTTTCAGCCTGTATGTGGATGAACATGCTTACAATGTGCGTATTTTAATATATTTTAGGAAAAAAAATCTCTGTAAGTAGGACATTGAATCTGTGACTTCATGCATGTATTTCTGCCCCAGACAAGACTGAAGAAGACACTGAAATGAACTGGGTAGACTTAAGAGATGGTGTAAGGGGATTCGCTCTGCAGGAAGTGGGGGCATCTGTGTCGGGGAGCACAGTCTGGAGGGTCTGTCTGAGCACCCTTGTTTCTGACCGGGCTGCAGGCCTCCCCCGTCCAGAGGGGCCTGGGGCTTCCTGGGGTTTTCCTCTGCCTCCTGGTGTAGGGGAGGGCAGGGATTCCTGGCCGGGGATGGTGTGAGCTTTGTTGGGGAAGTCTCCAGGGGCGCTTCATTGAGAAGTGGCTGTTCGCTGGCGGCCATTTTCCCAGGGGGTAGGGGTCGGGTAGGGGCTGGTCTCTCAGGGCCTCTTTGCCAGGAGTGAGTCTGGGGAGACGGAGTCCTCCTGTGGGCCCTATGGGAATGGGGGCTAGTGCCCTGAAGGCCTTGGCAGTTAGCGGGCTGCAGGAGTGGGGCCTCTAAACAGGCCCAAGGTGCTTTTCAGGAGGAGACAGAGGTCTGACTGGATGTCACGTTGGGGATGCGCAGTCCCCTTTACAGGTTTAACCCATTCCCTGCCTCCCCTCACCCATCCTGTGTGGTGGTGTCATCTGCCCCCAGTTTACAGAGGAGAAGCCAGGGGCCCAGCGGGGTGCTGTCTTGTCCTGGGTCACACAGTGAGCCGGTCCCCAGGGGCGACCACTCATGTGCACTGCTTCTCTTGGAGAGCTGCCAAGTTTGAGGCCTGGGAGATGGTCAGCACACGGTGCCTCATCTTTGAAGAGGCTGTGAGGGTAAAGCTGAACAGGGAGGGCTTGTGTGGGGATCCTTACTGGAGTGTCTTGTCTGCACCCACCTTGGGGTGGCCAGGGCTGAGTCAGGGCTCTCACTCTGGCTGGGCTATGTGTTCTTGGACACGTGCTTGAGTTCTGCCTCAGCGGGGAGGTGGGAGACCCCACCCTCTGCATTTTCCATGACTTGCCATCCCATCATTACTCAGGGTCATCCAGGGGTGGCTGGTGGCCCGTCCCTCAGCGCTGTCCCTTACCTCTCTTCTCCTGTCCTGGGGCACATTCACGCTGAGCTGAAGGCCACTTTCCACATCCCATTGTCCAGGTGAGGGCAGTACACAACTTGGCCAGGAAAGTTCCAGGACCTCCGAGGGAGCAGGCAGAGCGGGTCACACTGGACTCCTGAATCAGAGCCGCCGGTTCTAGCCTTCCATGGGGCCGAGTGTCAAGGATGAGATGGAGGTGCTGATGGTGGATCTTTGG